TCAGACATGCACACGCTCTCTTCTTTCAGTGACATTAGCTACAGCAATAGCCAGTTAAGCCCTACAGACCTGGAAAAAATACAGGAAATGAAGAGTTAAAAAAAAAAAAAAAGAAAAGAAAAAAACCAGAGAACTTGGAGGCAAGCCAGCGTCCCCGAATGACTCGGCTCAGCCGGCAGCCTGGAGCGACACTCCCCAACGGCCCGGCCCTCCCTCTCCTCTCCCCGTAGGGCGGGCATGCCCAGCCCTCCTCTCTTTATCAGAGACAGGAGTTCCCCTTCTTGGTCTCCAGTTGGTTTGGGAGCCCAGAAACATTGCTAAATTTATCTTTCACTCTTAGGACAATGGCAAATGCCAGAAATAAGAAAGCAAAAGAACTGAAAATTGATGAAGACAGTTGCCTGTAAGCCAAGTGGAAGCACCTTTTCTGCATAACTCCTAAGGAGGCAAAAAGCAGTTACACAGTGCAAAGCAGGACAGGCTGCCTGGGGTGCCAGGAACATGCTGTTCCTTTGGCTGTGCGGCACAGGGAATTGTCCATCCGTGTGCTCGGACTTGATGGGGCTTTCTTCTCTCCCACAGAGAGCAAAACATACCCTCCATTTAGAAGGGCTCTTGCTTTATCTCGCGACAGCAGCAGGGAAAGCTGGAGGCACACTGAAGAGGTATGGCTGGTGTGGGGGAGGCTGCCACCTCTGAGCTAGAACTGTTCGAGAATCATTAAGTCATGTTTAGTTCTGAGGATCTTTTTCTTAATGCTCTTTATAAGTGAACTGACCATAGATCTTAGTAAACTGATTTGTTGCTGAAATTACTCAGTGGAACAGCTTGCACAAGCCTGCTCTAGTTGGTGTGGTGCCTCGCCATGTATGCTATGATCAGTGCCTTCAGCAGAGATCGGTGTCCTCGATTTTTGGTGCTCCCTGTCTGTCTGGAAGCCATCCTGTTCCCCAGCACCAGGCAGAGGCACGAGGTCTGGCAAGTCATGGGGCCTGTTTCAAGATGGCCCTCCTAATACTTTCAGTGTATAACTTTCACAGCGCTTGCAAGACTTCCACTTTTTCTATGTCTGTGTCTCATAAATTACAATAGCAACAAAAAAGTGGTCAGATGAGTCGTCGCCAAGAAGTAAACATTGAACACTGATCAGAACAAGTTAGTGTTTGCATTCAAATGTTTTTTGTTTTGAAATCGATTTTACCCAGCTGCCAAAAGTTTTGTTGAGACTGCCCACGTCCCCCTCTCTCTACATTTACGATAAATGTCTCCTTGTGACTCATGTTGCCTTCCTGCCTACTCTAGCTTTCACACAAGTGTCTGCTAAAGAAAGAAACAGACACACAGTCATTCAGGTGCCTCTAGAACATTTAATTTTAAAATATCAAGAGTACTGATGCTTCCATAGGAAGTGATAAGCTGGTATAAAGGTAGTCACAGGAGCATGGGGTAGGAAAAAGTACATGGGGGAGGGTAAGAAGCACTGGAAAGGGAAGTAGAAGATGCACCGAACAAGGCTAGCAGCTAAAAATTACAGCTTGGTACAATCCACACAGATGACCCACATGCCATTCCCTGTGACATTAAGTAATAAAAAAGGGCAACATGAGCTTTGAATCTATGCCCAGTAAGGGTTTATTCCCAGAGGTTTTTTTTTTTTTTTTTTTTTTTTTTGTGTTGCTGTTTGGTTTTCCCGAGCTTGAGTTCTGAGAGGTGAAACCATAATGGTGGCCAAACACAAGTTTGTTTGGTTTTGTTTTTTCAACATTCATTTTAATTACCAAGCTGTAACAAATAAATCTCTGGCTGGATTGTAACTAACCTGTGTGGGTCCTTAGATGAGCTTTAAGATGGGAAGATTTGCCATAAACTTTTTCACACCCCACATAGTGGCATTTGTGCTTTTTCTGGGGTGATCCAGGGTCAGTCCAGCTTCTCGTGCGTTTGTTCTTTTGTCTGGGGCTTGGCTCAGTTACTGCAGCCAGGCTAGTAGGTGTGGCTGGTCTTCCTCCTCCACGCTTACCAGCCGAAGACACACTTTCTTCCCCAAACTCCTTAGAAGCAATAGAAATATGTATTTTTTCTGTGATATCAAAGGTCTCTGTTTTTTCCATCCTTAGTGGGGGTGAGTTTGGGACATGCTGGTTCAGATCTGCTAAAATGCTAGCTACCACAAGTAATGATGATCCATTGTCTTTCCCGGTTTCTCTGAGTTCCCGCTTATCTTCTCCATCTGATGAAGGAGGTATTGGTGCATCAGGTTGGGGATCAGGCTCCCCTTTGGGACTATGGATAATAGCACGACTGGACATAGAAACAAGGCACTCTGCTGCAAAATGATCCACATATGCTGCTGTTGCCATTTTTTGTAAGTTTAAAAAGAAATCCAAACAGAAGAGAAAAAAAAAAAAAGCCACGCAATGCTGCAAAAAATCTTTCCCTTTTTAAAAAGATTATGCGAGCAGACTTTTCCCTCTCTTATTTCTTAGGTTCTCTTTGTAGAAGTAAAGGCTGATTTAGCAGCCATCAAAAACACACTTTGTTCGTGACGATCACACCCAGCTTGTCCCTAAATCAAAAAAGCGTTGGAAGTCCAATGGAAGAGAAGAAGAAGAGCAGACGGATCCTGGCACTGGCAGCTTGTTGCTTGGAGTATGAATTAATGCTGTTTTTTCCAGAACGCGATAAAATGAAGATGCGGCTTCCCCAGCCCTTCCATTGCGTTGTGACAGTAGAATAAGCTCTCCCCGTTATCGCTCCTCGGAGTCGCCCGGACCCCTGCGGGGCGTGGCCTGGGAAAACATCTGGGCCTGACGTCACCGCGAAGCCACATCCTGCGCCGATCAGGTTGGCGGCGCGCGAGCAGGGCTGTGCGCGCCAGCGCGGCCTGCGCGCGGGGCAGCAGCCCGCAAATGAAAGGAAGCGGCCGATTGGCTGGCGGGGGGGCGCCGCGCGTCCAAATCGCCCGCCGCGGGAGCGTGTGGCACTCCCCCGGCCGCGGCCTGGGCGACCATTGAGCTCCCCGCCCTTCCCACGGGCCGTTCCCTCTGACGGATGTTAACGGCTCGGGGCGTGCCATGCTGGAGCTTGTACTGCTAGGGACAGCTGAACAGGCGCCGAACTGTTAAAAGGAAAAAGCGCTGTAGAGTTGGAAGCGATACAAGTGACAGGAAAGAGCGAGACTACACCGTTTGGTCCGCAGCTCCACAGATGGAGTTCATGTGTGGATTCTAATAGGTTGTGACAGGTTTAACTAACTGCCAGGGAATACACTTGAAATCGCCTTCCCTTCTGTCAAAACTCTCCTCCCTATAGCACTCTGCTGCCTCTGAATTATTTAAAAGTACAAATGAAAATAACTTGCTTTTCATTATTATTCTCAGCTTGCAAAAGATACAGCTCAGCCAGTTTTACGGAGATTAATGCCTGAATGAACAAAGGAGTTGCGTGTGTGACAAATTTATCAAGCAAAAGTAAAGAAATGCATCTGAATTAAGATCTGAAAGCAGTTAGTCTGTGGTGCTTCTTACCTTTTGTTGGAACATGTTTCTCCAGACTATTTCCTGCGCAATTCCTGTCTTTAGTCCAGATGGACCTTTTCTCTGAGACAGAGATGGTCAGAAAGCAGGAGGGCTTCTTTGGAAGCCTTTTGTTCTGGATGGAAAGTTTTGGAGTTTGAGGGCGTGTGAGAGGAAGTGAACATCTGTTGCAGAAACTCAAATAGTTTTGGTGCTAGGTTGACTAAAAAGTTGGTTTCATACACATGAAAATGTCTTATTCAGGAGCAACATCTGCTTATGCTACTGCTGCACTTTATGAAAAAACATGCTTTAGGTTCTCAGGCAACACTTCCCCTCTGGGTCGGGCTCATTGGTAACCTGCGTCTACCACAGTGCTCCATGTCTGCTCTCTTAGCAGTGCAGCCTGTAGCGCTCTGTGGGACTTGAGCCACTGCAGCAAAGGGAGGAATAAGGCATACGACCAGCGTGGGAGGATGTGGTTTAATGCTGAATCGAGTCAGATCATTTTGATGCAGGCGTATCATACCATTTGTTCTGCTGTGCGTATCTACGGGAAATGTTTACACATTTCCAAATAAAAAGGTTGAGTTTGGGAGTTACCTATTTGTTCCTAGATGAAAAAGGAATGCTGGGGAAAACATTTTTATAAGAAATTTTAGTTGAGTTCAAGCTCAACCTCCTCCTTGAAGGAAGAGGATTGCTTAAATAGACCTACCTGGCAGTTATTCAGAATTAGTAACAGATTCAGAGCAGAAACCCTGCAGCTCTCCTAGTTTGAGGAGAAACATGGGCCATTTTCAGGGGAGTGAGGAAAGGGTAGAGTTTAGGCACAAGTTCTCAGTCCTTACCCCAACGTCAAGGACCGTTATCAGTAAGAGGACAGGAAAAGGGAGACCTGGACTATCCTGGTTGCCAACCACCAGCAGGCTTTGCCCCAGCACTGACGGGGGGTTCCAGAGGCACCTTGGTATCTCTGTGCCCCCACCCTATGCAGCCCCCTCAGCACTGCTGTGCCCCTCTCCTACCACCTCTTCTCGCTGCTGTCTCATCCTGCTGCCTCATAGCATTCCTCCATAGCCTGCCCTGGCCATGCTGCCAGCCCCACTGTATAGCAGCGGCTTCTCCAGAGTTTCCTGTGGCTCAGAAGGGCTGGTGTGGCCTGGCCCTGGCCGGAGGAGAGGCGCTGGCAGAGGCCAACAGAGTCCAGCAAGTCCTGAGAACGTCCCTGCCTCAGCAGGGCCCGCTGTCTGCCTGGCCTGAGGAGAGACCCCGCAGGAGGGCCGAGAGCTGTGATTGGCTGCTCTGCCCCCTTCTGGAGCCTTCCAGAGAAGGCCAGCCAGTCAGGAAAGGACCTTACATGCTGTGTGAGGTTTGCCTCAGCGGAGGATTCGCTGGGCAGCGTGTTGGCGTGGAGGCGCCTGCATCTCTAGGAGGGTTCTTCGGGTGACAATCTGGTGATGCTTATGTTTTTGCCTTCGTTGCATGAGCAGGCAGGACACAGCTCGCAGCGTTCCTGGAGCCTTTGGCCAGAGGAGAGAGGCACTGTGTCGTGTGCACAGCCAGGCCCATTGGTTGTGGGCGGACCATGCAGAGGTAATGGTTGGCTATAGCTGATGGCAGGGAGAAGTCTTAACTTTCTTTTTCAACGGATCTGTTAGGTTAAAGCCTTGTCCTGATAGCAGCTCCTGTTATATGGGAGTGCCTTTCGTGTAAAATTAATGGCCATAACAAAGTCCCCAGTGAACGTCATGAACTCTCTAGTACTTCTGCAATCTTGCGGTTGAGAGCTTGTTTCGCTATCAGCCTGGAAATGTGACGCTGGCTGTGCTCTGTGTGGTTAAGGGCAGGCTGCTGAGGCAGGGGGCTTGGAGGAGGAGGTTTGTTTTGATGAGAACTTACTGCTTTTTCAGTTGGATGAACCTTTTGGGTGTGACTTCTTCATTTGGGAAAGAGCAATGTTGTGCAGGTTACTTGTAAACAAAAAGACTTTTTAATGTGAAAGAAAAGTTAGTCATATTCCACAGATGTGTATGTAGCTCAGGGTTCACGTATTACTCCCTTTTAAATCATGACTATGAATGAAAATATGCCTCTGACTTTCTAATAGCTGACTAGAAGTAAAAAATTGTCCTGTCTTGCATGCTATCGGTATGAAAGAGTCACTATCTCTTTGCATGTCCAAGAGCAAGGTGTAGTAAGTGTTTTTCATCTGGACACAAAAATTCCGGCTGCTTGGTGGAACCAGCTTTGGCTTTTAGTGCAGGATTGCAAATATGAAATGCTTCTGTGTGAACTAATGGTAGCAAATAGCCTCCCTGCAAGAAGCAGGGGTGAAGAGTCTCCTTTGTAAGAAATTTTAGTCATTACATTAGTTCAGTAGTACAAAAAGATTTTATGGAAAATCACCAGCCAAAATACTGTGCCCATTTATCAACTCTTTCTTGTAATGATAATATAGTTACCTGCCTATTTGTTCATTGTTATTATTTATTGCATATTTATTTTCTCTGAGCGAGTGGAAAAGTGAATTTCTGTAAGTACACAGTAAATCTTAAAATCACCTCTGCTGAATATCTGGCAACTGTTGACTTGTTCTCACCAAATGAGCCGAATTTTGAAACAGATTGCCAAAACAGTTAATAAGAATAGATCCTACCTCCCTCTTTTATTTTCTTTATTTGATTATGTTGTTGATCTCACCTGCAGGTATTTGTCCCACAGGGTGAGGTGAGAGTTTTTTCCCTCTGTTATGGCACTGTTTTTCCATCCACTCAAGTAAAACAGCCCTGGGTTTTGGCAGGGGTTTTTAATATTGTGTTTTTTTTAATACATAATTTAGAGTTTTGTTTAGCTACAAATGCATAGCAGCGGAATAATTTTAAATCGAATCCACCCTGTTCTGCCCCTCCCAAAATAGCTCATTGTTTTAAATTACAGGAATAAGAAACTCAAACGCTTTGTAAAATGAAAATAGTTTTATGAACTCTATTAACAAGAACTTTAAACAGAATAGAACAAAGTCCTTATACAAATGCCAGACTTGCTTCAAAATCAGCTGATGTTTTGTTTTGCGTGGCCAAAATTAAATAAAAAAAAAAGAGCTATAGCAACATTTTTCATGACTGCTGTAAAAACCGCTGTTCCAGTTAAAAGGATGCTATAATATCACATCCTTATAAACCAAATGATAGTGGAAGTCTGCAATATGCAAAATTGGGCAATCTGAAGCAGGAATTTTATGAGTGGGAGATATGAGGAATTTTGTCTGAGAAAAATTAGTTTACTATTCCAAGAACGTGATAAGATCTAAACACGCAGTTTTATAGTAGCAGACATTTCATCAGCACTTTTCCTGCATGAGTTTGCTCAATAATTTCTTCTATTTTCGTACACTTCTGCTTTAGATCCAGTGAGTCAGACACACAAAAAGTGTAAAGCACAGGAGTTCTGTGGACTTCAGTGAAGTTACATTATTTTACATCACCTCAGGAAGCTCTTAATGAGAATGGAAAAAGTAAAAGGCCATGTAGTCCCTCTCCCTGTTTCAACTCCTACACAGCAGCTATAAGATGAAAAGACCTAGTTTTTATTTTGTCTATGTAAATAGTTCCCTGTCCAATAAAACTGAAGAAACAAGGAGAAAAAGGAAACAGAGAAAAGAGCAGACATCTCTGCCTGAGTTCTTGCAGTACCTGTATTCACAATCTTATATTTTGATAGAATATTAGTCTTTATTGGTGCTTTCCTGTGGTTGCTCCTTAGTGGTTCCATGGTTTGAGGGGGGCTCTGGAAAGAGCTATGTAAGAGTGGTTGGTTGAGTTCATAGCTATGGGAATAAAATGGGACAGAATTGTAAAGCCTATGGCCTGTAGCTCTCTCAAAGATAAGTATGCCTAATGATGTCTCTGTTGTTCTTATCAGGTTAATAATAATGCCGAACTGGTAGAAGATAGGAAGAGAGGAAGGAAATGAACAGGTTTCTGCCAGAGATGAGCCACACTCTCCGTTGAATGATTGCACAATGCTGTTTCCACCATGGCTCCCAGTGACTTAATAAAAGAGTGAGTATCAGATGTTCACCCTCATTTTCAGAATCCCTTTAGCTCATTTTACTTTGGACAAATCACTGTGTTATAGCAAGTAATTGCTTGAATTCATATCAATATCACCAGTAAGTCTCCAGTTGTTAAAGACTTGGACTGTAAAAAAAAAAAAAAAAAAAAAAAAAAAAAACATGTTAAGCTGCTCAGGAAGATTTAAAACACCGAGGCAGAGAAGTGCGAAGTTGTTTATGGAAAA